CTCTGTAAACCGCTTAGAGAAGGCTGAAAGCCCTATGAAGCGGTATATAAGTCTAACTGCTATTGCTATTGCTATCGGGGAGAACTCCCCCCCCAATAATGGCAGGGCAAGGGACTCATAAATAAACAGGGAGCAAATTCCACACTATCCTTGTCAATCGGAAAGAAAAGTAATTTCAAACACTCAACAGATGGGGAAGATGGTTACGGGCATAGCAAAGTAGCCCGTCTTGCAAACATTCCAGGAAAAAGAGATTTAAAAGCTTTAAAGAGATCTTGCTTTAACAAACCCCTGTCAGGATTCCAAAGGGCATCCAAAAATAAATCAGAGTCCGAGGCAAAGGATTCGTCAAAGTTTCAATTTATGAAGAGAGCCACGCTGATGTATCTGAGAAAATCCGAATCTGAAAGCTTCCCGGTTTCCCCCACCCAGTTGAAAGTTCAAGATCTTGCCCCCACACCCACAAGTCCCATCACATGGTCCAATCTCCCACTGCCACGCTGGCATCTTCCACCCATCCAGTTTCGGTCAGGTGCAGAGGTACAAAGACAAAGGATGACCTTGGTTTTCTAGAAAGAATGTTGTTATGACTACATAGCATCTAATTCCATACAATCCCCCCTCCCATTTTCCCACAATAGAAAGATGCAGAATAGAAAAATAGAAAGTGTGGCAGGCCAAAGATCCCAAAAAAAAGAGATGTCTTCAGGCCTGACACCCCCTAATTAAAGAGAAATGGAGGGTATCTACCCCCTTCCTCAAAATTGTGGCTAGGAATTTCTAGTTCTTAGCATTCAACTACAGATAGTCCTTGTTTTACAACAATTCATATAGTCATCATTCAAAGTTACAGTGACATTGAAAAAAAGGGACCATTTTTCGCATTTATCCATCACAGTATATCTGTGGTCACGTGATCAAAATTTGTACGCTTTGCAACTGGCTCATGTTTATGACGATTTCGGTGTTCTGGGATCGCGTGATCCCCTTTTGTGACATTCTGACAAGCAAACTCCATGGAAAAGCCAGATTCAATTAATAACCATGTTACTAAATGCAGGGATTCGCTTCACAAGTGTGACAAGAAAGGTCGCAAAATGGGGCAAAGCTCACTTAACTGTCTCGCTTAGCAACAGAAAGGTTGGGCTCCATTGTGGTCATAGGTCGAGGACTACCTGTAATTAAAGTGTGTGTGATTCGTGCATCATGGATTCTGCAGGTGAGGTTCAGGAGGTTGACCTTAAAGTCCCAGAGAGAGGGAAACCCACCATGAGAAAGGGGGGTGAAAGAGAGAAGAGAGAGAGAGAAAGAGAGAGGAAGAGAGACTGGATGCAGAACATAGACTGAAGTCCCTTGTGTCAGTTTTTATGACAATTCATGACGGGAAGAGACATAGCAACAAGGTCAGCCAATGAAGAGACATGGCAACTTGGCCAGCCAATGAAGGCTGTTTGGATACTGTAACAGTATTTGCCGTATGAGCAACAAGGAGACAGCAAGGAGCCTGGGCATGGTTTAGCTTCTATACTAAAGCTCTGAGTCTGTGCTGAGCTCTAAACTCATCTGCTGCTCTGAACTGAAACTGTTCTCTGCCTGTGTGTTGCTTGTATTTGCTACCACGTTGGAAAACCTGCCCTTTTGGCGTTGTATATTTACTTCATGTGTCATATTATGTATATAAAGAAGTTAATGAATCCTGCTGAATCAGTTTACCTGTGTGTGCTTTTTGGATGCGATCGCTGCAACAAACTCTTGACACCTTGCATTGTCTAAATTGATGCCGCTCTCCTGTCCGAAAAGAGAAACGTGGATTGTGCATGAGACGGTAGAGACAGAACAAGGGCTCTCTCCTTTGACTTACTGATCTTCTCATCTTTGAACCCCTAGATTTACGAGGGTGCCAACAGCCTCCTGGACAAGCTGGGGGTCTGGTACCACGTGGCCAACGGCACTTCGGACTTGAAGGAGATGGCTCAAATTGGCCTGCGGGTACTGATCGGATACATCATGTTGGAAGACGTGCAGGTAAGTTCCCAAACTTCTATGTGGGTCTATTTCCACATATAGATAATCCCTAGTTTGTCTTCCCACATCGATTATTCGGGTCAGCTCTTAATGACCGCACAGATACATCATTTCCAGGATGATCTGACGCCCACCCAACTCAACCGTGGTTCCCCTCATTCGGTCTTTGAGTCACTGCAGTCCACGGATCCATAACACATGTGAGGGAACATTTTAGGGTTAGCAGCACGGGTGGGTTCCAGCCACCATTGCTACCGGTTCGGCACCCGAAAAACATGCGTGTGTGTGTGCATTTGCACCTAAAACAATTTGCGCACGCGCACAACATTTAAAAAGGAATAAAAGTTATATTTTTTTCAATGAAGATTGTTCCGCGCATGTGCAGAACGGAAAATAAAGGTGGCGCCACCGAGGATAGAAGTGGTACGGCCGCGTGTCCGCTAGAGGTACTACTTATTCAGCCGAAGCGGACCGTATAGGTTGGAACCCACCTCCGGTTAGCGGTTCCTCCGGATTAACGGACACCTGCAGACATCTGTTTTGGAGTCAGAAAATAAAGCAGGGCCGCCAGGCGCTCTGCGTAGACTTGCATGCATAGAATTCAAACTAGCTACTTTATTGTTTTCAGCCTACAGTACAGGAATCTTCCCAGCTGGCTATTTTTGCCTGGGAACGACCGGGCTGGATAAGGCTGGCAGGGATTTAGGACGGGGATCTCCAAACTTGGCAACTTTAAGAATTATCGACTCCCAGAATTCCACAGCTGAAATCCCTGCAAGGCTTATCAAGCCCTGATTTGGATTCAGGGGTGTCAAAACACAAGGCTTGAGGGCTGCGTGTGGTCAGATCCGGCCTGGAAAATGTAAGGGACTGGTTTGCATCGCTTCGGCTCAGTCTACCCATTGCAAAGAGGAAATATGCCAGCAGTTTGGGAAGTGGAGTCAAGCTGGCCACACCCACCCAGTCAGCCATGACCAGCCCCCCAAGGTCAACTACAGCCCCGATGCGACCCTCAATGAGATCGAGTTTGACACCCCTTATTCAGAGGATTGGACCTTGTCCTCTTATGGTTATGCAATGAGTCTAAGCCAGAGATGGCTAACCTTTTTGTCGCCAAGTGCCGAAAGCACGTGTGTATGCACAACCCCTTGCACACTCTTCCAGCCCCTCTGCCTCTTCCCTCTTCCTAGATTCACTCAGACGTTTTTAAAAGAGTGGAAGAGTGTCTGTGTGTGCACAGGCTGTGAGTTTTAAAAACGTCTGAGTGAATCCAGGAANAGATAGATAGATAGATAGATAGATAGATAGATAGATAGATAGATAGATAGATAGATAGATAGATAGATAGATAGATAGATGATAGACAGACAGACGAGAGAAAGATGCAGGGAAGTTAGGGTTGGGGGACACCTTCTCGTCTGCATGAGACAGGTAGAAACAACCTTTGTCCCTCCACCTGTCCTGGAGCTGTTTTGGGCACTGCAATCCCGCCATCTCATTCCTTCCCGCCCCCCTAGCAAACCCCGGAGGAAGAACTGTGCAACTTGCTGACCAACATCATCTTCTCGGTCACCTGGCGGGGCGTGGAGGGCTGGGACGACGTGGCGTGGAAAGAGCGAGGACAGGTCTTCTCCGCCCTCACCAAGCTGGACTCGGCCTGTGAGCTGGTCCGCCCTCCTGACGAGATCAAGCGCAGGTAAGGGGAGGGGGGGCCACGGCGCAGAGTTGTCAACGGAAGTCCCCCCCCCACTCGCGAGGTTCTCTAGTAGTCCGATACACTCTGCTCTCTGAGGTTAAATGATTTCCTTGCAGACATTTCATAACCCACGGAGGTAACAATTTCAGTGCTAGAAGGGAGTAAGGCTGCAGAGAGTAGAGGAAAGGAAAGGAAGAAGGGAGGAAAAAAGGAAGGGAAAGAGAAGGGACAAAAAGGAGGAACGAAGGCAGGAAGGAAGGCAGGGAGGAAGGAAAGGGTGGAAGGAAAGGAAAGGAGGAAGGAAGGAAAGAAGGAAGGAAGGAAGGAAGGAAGGAAGGAAGGAAGGAAGGAAGGATGATTGCAGAGAGGAATAGGGAGGGAAGGAATGAACAGAGGAAGGAAAGGGTGGAAGGAAAGGAAATGAGGAAGGAAGGAAGGTTGCAGAGAGGAAGAGGGAAGGAAGGAAGGAAAATTGCAGAAAGGAGGAGGAAAGGAAGGGTGGAAGAAAAGGGTGGAAGGAAGGAAAGGAAGAAGGAAAGAATGTTACAGAGGAGGAGGAAAGGAAGGAAGGAAGGAAAGAAGGTTGCAGACAGGAGAAAAAGGAAAGGAAGGAAGGAAGGAAGGAAGGAAGGAAGGAAGGAAGGAAGGAAGGAAGGAAGGAAGGAAAGGAACAGAGGAAGGAAAGGGTGGAAATAAAGGAAAGGAGGAAGGAAGGAAGCTTGCCGAGAGGAACAAGGAAGGAAGGAAAGAAGGTTGCAGAAAGGAGGAGGAGGAGAGGAAGGAAGGAAGGAGAAAGAGTATGGGGGGAAGGAAAGAACTTCTCCCACCATGGTGGAGAGTTGCCAATGGAAGCCATTACATAAAGCTTTTCATGTCAGCTGGTGGGGCATCTGTGCTGAGGAGAAGACCTTCCCTGAGGACTTCCTACCTGTGGGCTCCTTGGTGCTTTCTGAGACTGGCAGTTTCCTTGCAGACGTTTCATTACCAAACTATATAATAATATCATTGCTAATAAAAGAGAATGGGTTTTGTGGAGAGGAGGAGGACTGCGGGGCCTTAAGTTTTCTTTGAGCTTCATTGTTTCCTTGCAAACACTTTGTAAGCCAGTTAATTAGATAGCATCATCAGGGCTGGAAGAAATAGTGTACAAACAGAGAGCAAACCCTCTCTCCCTTCTAGCCCTGATGCTGTTCCCTAGTTGGGTCATGAAACGTCTGCAAGAAAACCACCAAGCTCAGAGAGCTCCAAGTGCTGATAGTAAAAAAATGCTACTGGTTCATCCAAACTGGTAGTAAAAAAATGCTACTGGTTCGCCCAAACTGGTAGTAAAAANGGTGATTTTCTTGCAGACCTTTCATAACCCAACTAAGGAACATCATCAGTGCTAGAAGGAAAGAAGAAGGAAGGAAGAAAGAAAAGAAGGAAGGAAGGAAGGAAGGAAGGAAGGAAGGAAGGAAGGAAGGAAGGAAGGAAAGAAGGAGGGAGGGAAGAAAGGAAGAACTGTGTGGTCCTTGATGCTCTCTGAGCTTGGTGGTTTTCTTGCAGACCTTTCATGACCCAACTAGGGAACATCATCAGTGCTAGAAGGAAAGAAGAAGGAAGGAAGGAAGGAGGGAGGGAGGGTGGGAAGGAAGGAAGGACTGTGGGGTCTTTGGTGCTCTCTGAGCTTGATGGTTTTCTTGCAGGCATTTCATGACCCAACTAGGGAACATTATCAGGGCTAGAAGGGTTTGCATATAAACAGAGAGTAAACCACACACTCCTTCTAGCACTGATGATGTTCCCTAGTTGGGTCATGAAATGCTTGCAAGGAAACAACTAAGCTCAGAGAGCACCAAGGACCCCACAGTCCTCTTCCTCCTCCTCTTCCCTGCAAACCCCACTGATTTGCATTGATGCCACCCAGTTGGATCATGAAATATCTGCGTGAAAACCAGCAAGCCTTACGGGTTAGATTAACAGAGTTGGAAGGGACCTTGTAGGTCATCTAGTCCACCCCGCTGTCCAAGCAGGAGACCCTACACTATTTCTGACCAATGGCAGTCCAATCTCTTCTTTAAAGTTTCCAGTGATGAAGCTCTTGCAGCTTTCGAAGGCAACTTGTGTTCCATTGGTTGATCGTTCTCATTGTCAGAAAGTTTATCCTTATTTCTGGGTTGAACATCTCCAGTTTCCACCCATTGTTCCTTCTCTGGCCTTTGGTGCCTTGGAAAATAGTTTGACCCCCTTCCTCTCTATGGCAGCCCTCAAATATTGGAAGGCTGCTATCCTGTCTCCCCTGGTCCTTCTCTTCCCTAGACCAGCCATGCCCAGTTCCTGCAACCGTTCTTCGTATGTTTGAGCCTTCAGTCTGTTAAGCTCAAAGATCATCAAGGACTGCACAGTTCCCTCCCCTCCTCCTCCTCCTAGTAGTTGAATTAGCTTAGATTCTCTGCAAAAACATAAGGTGTAAGTTCCAGCCTCCCCTGAATGCCTTTAAGCCTTCTCTGGTCGTTCCCATGCAAACATTGGGTGGATTCCTGTACAACGGGCAGAAAACAATGAGGTCGAATTGAATTGAATTGAATTTTATTATTTGTATGCCGCCCTTCTCCGGGAGGACTCAGGGCGGCGAACAATTCAAAAGGGGGAAAAAGGGGAACATAAAACGAAATACAGATAATTAAAATAAGCAAGAGGCACACAACCATACAAGTCGAGAGGGGAGGGAACTCATCACCCCCAGGCCTGCCGGCAAAGCCAGGTTTTGACGGCTTTCCGGAAGGCCTGGAGAGAGGTGAGGGTCCGAATCCCTGCGGGGAGTTCGTTCCAGAGGGCCGGAGCTGCCACAGAGAAGGCCCTCCTCCGGGTAATAGCCAGGTGGCATTGGCTGGTGGACGGAACCCGGAGGAGGCCGACCCTGTGAGATCTAATGGGTTTGTGGGAGGTAATTGGCAGGTTCCCTCCCCCTCCTCCTCCTAGTGATGAATTGGCTTAGATTCCCTGCAAAAAACATAAGGTGTTAAGTTCCAGCCTCCCCTGAATGCCTTTAAGCCTTCTCTGGTCGTTCCCATGCAAACATTGGGTGGATTCCTGTACAACGGGCAGAAAACAATGAAATAGGCAGCTTGATCTCTAGGCAGGTGGATGTGGTTCTTCATGCATTGCCTTCCTCTCTCTCTCCAGCTCTTCCACCTAATTTACTCACAGCACGACATGGTGAAGCACCTGGCCAAGCTAGCGGGCTGGCAGGATACCCTGACCAAGCTGTACGTCAAGGAATCGTACGAGTCTCGCCAACACAGCCTGTCCAGCTCGGCCAACGGGGTGGACTTCTTGAAGCTCTCGGAGCAGCCGAGCATGGAGAGAGGGAAAGAGCTGGTGGGCTCTACTAGCCCCTTGGCCTCCGAGCTGCCGGATTTGGATGTCTTCCTCCCGCTGGGCTACGAAGCGTCCGACCACGAGCTCTCCGAAGGGCTATCGGACCTCTCCATGTCCCCCACCAACCAGAAGTACAAGATCTTCCAGTCCTACGCCTTCAAGTCCTTCGACTCGTTAGAGCTGGCCAGTCATTCCTCCTCTTCCAATATCATGGACCTCCCCGGGCAGGGAGAGGTCCACCCGGGAGGCCCAGTTGACCGCGTCTACTACCCGCTCTCGCCTTTCTCCAATTCCCCCTTCGAGCTCGGATTGGATTTGGGCAGCAGTAGCTCGGCGGCCACCTTGGAAAGCGGCAACCAGACGCCCCTCAGCCTTCCCGGGACGCCGTCTCCCCTGGAAAACTTCAAGCCCTTCCCGGGTCCCAGAGCTCGCAAGAGCTCCAGCTTGTCCAACGTTCTGGACGAGACGAGCTACCAAGAAACGCTGCCGAGCGACAGTATCTCCAACACCAGCAACCCCCAGGTGAGTTTCTTTCTTGGATGCTTTCACTTTCGGCAGATGGTCTGGGTGTTGACCCAGGAGTTTGTGGATTTCCCCTGCCTCTTTTGCCAGGGCACGGTCCTCGTTTTTAAGAAGGCAGTCCTCGACTTGCAGCAGTTCACTTAGTGACAATGGCGCTGGAAGGAGGGGCTTAGGACCGGTTTCCACACGATCCTTGCAGTGTTCCCCTAGTCGCATGGTCAAAATTCAAACGGTTCGCAACTGACTCGTAGTTACGATGGTTGCCACGTCCCATAGATCGGGGGTCTCCAACCTTGGCCCCTTTAAGACTTGCGAGCTTTGTTGGCTGAGGGATTCTGGGAGTTGAAGCCCACGCGTCTTAAAGGGCCCACGGTTGGAGACCCCTGCCACAGACCACATTTTTTCCAACCTTCTGAAGTCAACGGGGAAGCCAGATTTCACTTAGAGCCAAGGTGGCGCAGTGGTTAAATGCAGCACTGCAGGCTACTGCTAGATCAGCAGTTCAGCGGTTCAAATCTCACCGGCTCAGGGTCGNTCTTCCAGCCCCTCTGCCTCTGCCCTCTTCCCCAACATCCTCCCCCACAACCCCACCCCAGCCACTCACCAGTTCTTTCTTCTTCTGGTTCTTCTTCTGAGAACTTTTCAGCAGCAAGGTGCGGATGGGCGGGGCGAGTGAAAGAGCGAAAGAGGGAAGGGAGCATTCCAGTACGGGGCCTCTTGACCAACGGGTACGGGAAAGCACGCCAAATTTCACCACCTGGCACAGCCGTACCGATCCATGCTGATTGAAACCCACCCCTGCTGTGCATGCCCCAGCTCCTGTGCATGTGCCCCATGCCTGCGCATGCATGCGCGGCTCCCATGTGCACCTTGTACACCACACACGCACGGCAGGGACCTGAAAACCAGGTGGGTGGTGGGAAGCGTGAATGCATGCCTGGTGGAACTGAGCTGGGCCGACGGCTTGTGTGCCTGCAGAAAGGGCTCTGAGTGCCACCTGTGGCATGCGAGCCATGGGTTTGCCATCAATTCCCTGCTTGACCCTTCCTCTTGACTGCCAGTGTTGCTCAGGAGCAAATGCAGAGCCTTCGCTGACTCCAAACCATGCCCTGATGCCCAAAATTTGTGCTAGATTCGATAACTCCGAATTGCTTGCAGATCACCAATCCCAGCTGTGTGTAGGTATATCTGGAGGGGGCCCCAGAGAGCCCTCTTCTGCCTCCTTTCTGGCTCTTATACTTTCCACAACGCAGGGACAGATTCCGCCTTCTGTGCTTTCAGTTCTTTGGTCTAGATCTGTGAGGGCGAACCTCTGGCACACAGGCCACAGGTGGCATATGGCACCATTTCTGAGGGCACACAAGGCGTTGCCCTGTCGGTTCGTCTGATTTTTTTCGGCCTTGGTTTTTGGCTGTTTTTCGCTTTCCGGAGGCTTCAGGGAAGCCTCTAGAAGCTTCCATAGGGCAAAAAAATGGCCCAACGGACAACCCGGAAGTCTGACCCCGAACTTCCGGTTTCCGTGTTGGGCTGTTTTTCGTCCTCCCCAGGCTCCAACAAAGCCTCTGGAGCCTGGGGAGGGTGAAAAACGGACCTATGGGCCCCACCGGAAGTCGGAAAACGGGCCGTTTCTGGCCTCTGGAGGGCCTTGCTGGTGCAGGCGAGGCAGTTTTTATTCCTCAGGCTCCAAGAAAGCCGTATGTGCAGGGCAGCGGGGGGTGTCATGTGAACATGCACAGGGGGGAGGGCATTAAATTACGGGGGTAGCCACGTGAGCGCATGCAATGGCGTGCGCTTGTGCTTTTGGCAGCCAAGGTGAAAAGGGATCGCTATCATTGGTCTATGCATGACCCGATTAAAGCACGCCAACTAAATCACGTCGCAAAAAACCGCAATGTCATCAACGCGACCACAACAGTGCGCCGACAACAACGCGCCGACAGAAGCGCGATTTAAGTTAAAGTAAGGGTTAGGGTTAGGTTCAGGGTTAGGTTTAGGGTTTACAGCGCACTTCTGTCGGCGCGCTGTTGTCGGCGCGGTTCATCGCTCATTCGTTGGTGCGGTTTAGAACTCGTGGTTTTGTCACCGCGGTTTAGTCGGGCGCGCTTTTGTCGGTGAACCGGTCTATGTTCTGCTTCCTCATCCCGTGTCTCCTCCCTTTCTCCTTCCAGCTGCAGTCCTTGGCCTACGTCAAGCTTCACGGCCTTCTCCAGACGGCTTCAGCCCCCAGGAAAGAACAAGCCTGTTATCTCCTGGGAAAACTGGAGACCCCACTCAGGGCTTCCCTGCACACCAAGTCAGAGACCTTCTCCTGGCTGGTGCCCATCATCCGGACGTTGATGGACCAGTGTTACGACGCTTTGCAGCTGCAGCACTTCCTCCCGTCTCTGCCCCCCACCAACGGCAGCCCCACCTTCTACGAGGACTTCCAGATCTTCTGCACCCACCAGGAGTGGCTCACCTTCATTGAGAAGCACGTGAGTCTACCTGCCCGAGATCCTAAGCAACATTTTTTTTGGAATACAGCGCCAGAAGGGACCTTGGGGGGGGGGGGGGTCTTCTACTCCAGAGGTCCCAACCCCCAAAGCGTGTGTGTGTGTGTGTGTGTGTGTATCCCCACTTGCGCCATTTGTGCAAGCGATGGTGCACATCAGAGGTGGGTTCCTATCAGTTCGCACCTATCCGATAGAACCAGTTCATTCAAATCTACCGAACCGGTTAGAAGAGGTTCCACCAGTGGACCCGGAAAGCAGCAGGCAACACTTACAGAAGAGGTTCCAAAATTTTTTGAAACCCACCACTGCCCCCCCCCCCACAGAGACAGACAGACTGACACAGAGAGAGAGAGAGAGAGAGAGAGAGAGAGAGAGAGAAAGAGAAAGAAAGGAAGAAATAAATAAAAAAAGAAAAAAGAAAGAAAAAGAGTGAGAGAGAGATGAAAAAAAGAAAAAAGGAACAGAGACAAAAGGAAGGAAAGAGAGAGAGAGAGACAAAAGGAAGGAAAGAGAGAGAAAGGAAGGAAGGAAGGAAGGAAGGAAGGACGAAAGGAAGGAAGGAAGGAAGGAAGGAAGAAAAATAACCACATGGCTAGCAAGACACTCCCACCAGGTCACATGGCTGGCAAGCCACTCCCACAAAGGCGGCCACACCTACAGAGTAGGTTCCAAAAAAATTTGAAACCCACCACTTGTGTACATGCCCGCCATTTGTGTTAATGGGGCTGCACGTGTTTTCACGCACTTTCCTGCTGCTTGCATGGAACTACACACACACACACACACACACACACACACACACACACAAACACACTCCTTCATCGCTGGTCCGCAAAGCGAAAGAGATTGGGGGAGTCTCTTGTAATCCAACCGCCTGCTCACACAGGAGACCCTTACAGAATAACAGAGTTGGGAGGGACCTCGGAGGTCTTCTAATCCACCACCCTGTTCAAGCAGGGACCCTTGCCCTGCCCCCTCCTCTCTTCAAACTTCGCCCTCTTCCCCCCTTCCGGCACTGATGACATTCCCTAGTTGGGTCATGAAACGCCTGCAAGAAAATCACCCAGCTCAGAGAGCACCAAGGAACAGCCCCCTCCCCCCTAGTCCTTCCTCCTCCTCCTCCTCTTCACAAACCCCCCACTTCCTTCTAGCCCTGATGAGGTTCCCTAGCTGGGACATGAAATGTCTGCAAGAAAATCCCCCAGCTCAGGGAGCACCAAGGAGCCCACAGCCACCATCCCCCTCGTGATCCGACAAATGTGCGCTGACAAAACTGCGGTGACAAAACCGCGGCGTCATCAACGCGCCGACAACAGCACGCCGACAGAAACGCGATTTAAGTTAAGGTAAGGGTTAGGGTCAGAATCAGGGTTAGGGTCAGGGTCAGGGTTAGGTTTAGAGCGCGCTTCTGTCGGCACGCTGTTGTCGGCGCGCTTCAGCGCTCATTTGTCGGCGCGGTTTAGAACTTCCGGTTTTGTCACCGCGGTTTAGTCGGGCATGCTTTTGTCGGGCGCCCTTTTGCCGGTGCACCCATCTCCCTCCCTTCCTTCTCCCTCTTCTCTGTGGGAACCTGTGTTTCCAAAATACCTGGTGGACGCCTGGTTCTGCCTCCTGTCCCGCACTCTAGGACAATCAATCAAACCTGTGTACCTCCTTCCGTGTACGGGCGTCTCTCAAATGATGATCATTCATTTAGCAACCTTTGGGTAACCTCCAGAATTTTCCGTTTCCAACACTTTTAAATTTTGCCCGCTTTTTCGTGTCCTCTCGCTGTCCTGCTTAGTAACTTTACCGGCTGGGTCTCCCACGCAGGTGCAACCCACCATGGCCCAGTTTGAAATGGACACCTTTGCCAAGAGCCACGACCACATGTCCAACTTCTGGAACTCCTGCTATGACGCCTTGTTGAGCAGCAATCAGAGGAAGGAGAAGGAGAAAGCCGAGAGCCGGAGGAAGTTCCAGGTAGGTGGGCAGGCAGGTGGGCAAGTGGATGGTTAGACAGGTAGGGGTGTAATAGGGATAGATGGGTTGTGAGGAGGGCAGGTGCAAAGGAAGTGAATAGATAGGTGTTTGTGGCCAGGTGTGTAGGGCAATGGGTGATTAGACTGGCAGGGATGTAGTAGGGCGCAGGTGGGTTGTTAGGAGGCTGGTGCATAGGTATGTGGGTGCTTGGAGGAAGGTCCTTAGGCAGGTGGGTGGGTGTATAAGTAGATGGATAGTTTTCTGACCCCCCCCCCCTCGTCCTACACCAAAGCACAATGAGACAAAGATACTTCAAGGATTTATTAACACACAGACCAGGCCTTGGCAGCAATCCAATACAAACAAAACATTGGCAGCAATCCAGCACAGACTAACCTTGGCAGCGATCCAGCCTGCCAAGCTAGCCACAAGAGTTCTCCAGCTCTATTGAATACATTGATTCCTGCAAAGGGGCATGTGGACAATCATTCCTTTTATAGTCTTGAGAGGAGCCTAATTACCACCAGCTGAGTGCAATTATCTCCTGTAACTGCGTAACTGTTCCTTATGCCTACTAGCCCTCCGTTGCCGGACATCCAGGACCAACTCCCTTGTCTTCTCCACACTGCTCCAATGCATTAATTCAGGATCACACTCCCTTGCCTCCTCCCCACTGATCCAAGGCTC